TGCGTGTGCGCGACCGTTTCCTGCATACGTACGTTCCGGCGCTATGCAGGTCTGCTGCTTTTTCGGATACAACATGTACCACTTATGTTTCTTTTAAGAGAATATCTAAAATTAGAAGGCCTTTTAAGATTCGTCCGCAAATGTAATTGCGGCGTAACCGTTGCTTAGTGCCAATAGTAGTTATTCTTCTTGCTCGGCATTGTGTACTACCACGAAAGTGTCATTCATGTAGCGGCTATATAATTGCACGTGGTGTATATTACAAACTGATAATCTCTGTTCGCAATCTATTCAATCCGCGAAGTATATGTAAACGACTGACAAAAATACGCGGAATAGCTGAATCCAGATTATCCTGTCGAAATTTTGTTCTTTCTTGTGCTTTCGACACTGGCAGTTGTTTGTTGTACACTTCAGCCTACCGCGCTCAAAATACTAACAGTTTTAGTAGAGAATGTCAATCACTGTCTCGGCTTTCAACGGATCAACGAGATAGGCAACAGGAGAGGCAGCCACTCAATGACAAACAGGATGAGTTTTTGAATGTCCAAGGTGCGCAAAGTGAAACAAGCGTGATTTCGGAAAGATTTGACAGAAAAAATGCATAGCAAGCAACGCTACAGATTACCCAAAAACAAACTCAAATAAACCAAAATTCATTGACTTAGTATTAAAAGATGAAAAGCAACATAACATGATATTAAAACTAACAAAGAATAAAGGAATTAATCCATCTAAGAACAGTGAAATATGAATATTGTTTTGTGAAAGAACTCCTAGTTGTCTAACAGATTGACATTTTACGCACATGGCTGTGGTTGAATTTAGAATTGTGCAATCACGGCTGTCCCTTATGTGCAGTCTCCGAAATTGTAGCAGCACCACCGACCTGGAGCCATGTCTGCCAATTTCGTGAAAGAGTGAAAGCCTTATGCCTGCTTCAAAAATACTTCGGTCAAACTCCTCCAAGTACACTATACCTCCAACATAACCCGGATCGCATAGTAGGCTAACTGTGAGTGGCACTAATTATGGACGAAATGTGGTTAGCTGCACTCAGAGGACAACATGAGCAGGCAGCCACGGAGGAAAGCTTGAAGGCTGAAACCGTCTAAACCAGGCTTGACTGTCTTCCTCAAATAGGCCAACACCGTACACAAAGTGTCCACCAACGCAGTGATGTGGCATAGGCGGGTTGTTACTGTGCCGGGGGATTGTGAACCAGACATTCAATGTCATCGCGCAGCCACAGCCAGTACGCGAAGTGCTTGTCTGAAACTGAGGACAGATACTTACCGGGTCTGAGCAGCGGCAATTGACTAGATCGTAAGCGGAGCACCCATGCAACATGTGATGGCTGTTTGGGTACTGGGATTGTCTGAGTGTTTCTGCGTGCCTGTTCTTACCTAATACGTCCACTGACTTAGGAGAATGCCTTGCAACTGCTGTGTGTATGAGTTCAGTGCCTATTTGATTTCTACTTTCTGTACACTGGTTGCATCTAAATTCCTCAATAACGGCTCTTGCCAACAGTTCTTGTCTTCTACCACTTACGGAGGCTCGTTAGCTACACGCTGTTAGTGCGATACAGTAAGAATACTGTATAAATATTAGGGGTAGGTAGCCGGTGGGGGATCAAAGCCCTATGTCCTTAAGCATCAGGTCGACTAACACACTAAATAAGACCTATTGTTGCCTTTCATCCAACTGGTCATCTCACAGATATGACCGGGAAATATTCGCATCACCGTTGAGATGACGTTATTTGGATATAATGTGACATGCACGCGGCATGGGAATGGCAGCGGATACACTCAATGAAAATATAAATGCATGTCTATGCAACGGTTGTTGTGTAACGTCGGAAACAAGCCACAGGCATTAAAAGGAACAGCATTACGCCCGCTAGCACGTGACAGAAAAGCAATGGTTTTGTCAGTGCCCCCATAGCGCTCAGGATTTGACCGCGCCGTGTCAACTTCACAGACAAGATGGCGAATTGGATGCATGCCCAGTGAAAAATCGCATTTAGCTTGTGCGCACAAACCGTCGTAGCTACTGCAGTAACCTAACTAGATGATCAAATCAGTGAACACACAATTAGCGCAGCGCTGCGGATTGTCGGCATTGCATCTATTGGTCTGTCACACTTCCTTCACAGTTGCAAATTCCATGAATGTTTGCTTTAGGTTTGTAGGCTACTTACCTTCATTTGCAATAAGTATACTTTTCATAAGGTAATTATTTTCGTGGTTTCTAGAAACCGAGCCCACGAGGGGACGGATCAGATTTATATTGCAATACGCCCAGGCATGCGAGGCTGTCCATCGTCTGGACCTTTACAGGGTTACAATAGGGATGCATTTGTGATTATTTTCAATTGGAACTATCGTCGCCGTATACTACCACTTCGCGGGCATTCTGATTTGATTGTTTGCGGTGCAGCTTGGTGGTGCTAAGACGGTGGCTGTTTGATGGTTGGGAGGCAGTATGAATATTATGTAACAGTTAGGTTCACCAATCAAAATCAGATAAATAATGCGCAATCTTACTTAATGGACTGTAGTTATACATTTGGTGCTGTTTGCGAATAGCAAGTTAGATATTTGAGAAAATAAAAAGGCTGTATTAAGGTAACTCCAATGGATCATCATACTCAAGTTGTTTTAACTGAAGAATTTAGGCAGTATTCACATCGTATGGTGTAAAGGTATAGCCTAATGACTTGATATTACTTGGTTTAATTATGGTGTTGAACTAATCGTTGTGTTTTGGGCTCCAAGCTGGTTGAGATGTTGCGTGAGCTCAGTTGCATTCCTTGCAGCATCCAATTGTAGGTTTATATCTATGGCGCGCGCAACTACGCACAGAAAGGTTAATGTTAAAAAGAGAGAATTAAAAAGATAAGTATACAAAGAAATAACCGCCTATTTACCTCCACGTCAGGACTTATTCAGTGGCTATTAGGCTTTTAGAATATGCAAAGACAGGGTGATTAGGAAAGTATGCAAGAGTTAGGCTACGTCTAAGTTAATGGGATATATCGGTTTGATAGTAGGACGGTAGAGATCTTACTTTATTACATAAGTGATCCAGTGCAGAATGAAGTAGGGTAAGAAAAAACAAGAAAGTAATACGGGTATTCATGGAACCGTCTCCCGGAGACCTGCTTTCATGCGGTATAGTCTCTCGAGGGTATTCACCCGCACCTCCATGCCCATCTAGTCATGTATCGGTGTGGTTCAAACGCACGCTGGCCACTACCGATTTTATTCATCATTTGGGCAATTGTTTTTCTTGGTGAGCTAGTTACTCAAGCCAGTCAGCCCTTTCGTCCTTCATGGTTTTTTGCGTGCATGATGACCTGGGCCACCGACTGGCGTCACATGCCATTAAGTGTGAGTTCAGTAGTTCAGATTAGAGCGTTTTGTCACGTGTGCACACTTTCTATATTCATCAGTGGGTCTGTTGGCGTGGGTATATTTGTTGCTTAGAAGCTTCAAACCATCACCTCAGGAGATCGATTCACTCGTGGACAACAGAATAACAGGAGAATAAGAGGAAATAGGTAGATTAAGAGGTAAATATCAACGAAATAAGTAGTCAGTTAGCATGTCTCTCGATATCATGGGGTGCAATATGATTGGATGTGGTAAAAGATTGCAAAGTTTAGGATAATAGGTAGCGTTATCGATGAGTTGGCTTCTCCTTTCAATACGCACTAGGTGATGCAAATTAGCCGGATGCCATAGGACAGTAGAATCTTAACAATCTACGAAGAAGAGATAAGACAAGTGAAACACGTTTTTCTTTATCCACCTACAAGGGGACTTCGAGGGCATTCGAGCATAAAATTAAGGCATGATAGAGTGTGGCGAATCTGCATTATAGGTCGTATATTGTTTGGACTGATGAAATTAACTCACCTGTAGACACTTGAAGTCTGAATATAATCATTTTGTTCCGCATGGTGAGAAAAGTACCCAAGTTCATTTTAATTTTGGTTAGGTTCCCACTTGCCCATACTTTTAATGTGAGCTTGTTCTAAATGTGAATATACCTTACCAGGAAGAAGTTGGAGCGGATCTTTAAGTTCCCCATTTTTGCGAGTAGTGAGTGACCCCTATTTTTTATGGGACAGGTTTAAGAATTTCTCAAATTGAGAACTCTCCCGGTAGTGCACGCCCGGCAATGTATAATATTGTAAAAGAGAATTAGACTATTTCTCAGACAGCGCAGCCATAGAGGGCCCAGTTTAAGGCGGTGACGGCAGTCTTCAGAGTGGTGGGCCGGCCAATAAGGAGTTTCGGGAAAGAACGCTGAATGTTTTCTAGCGCTATTCGATTCTTTCTAACCAGGCGCCTATTGATAATTGTGCAGTACCCCAGCACGATTTTCACGATTATCTAAAATACTTTCAGTCTCGCTTCGGGTAGAACAAGGGATTTATTGATATAGGCTTTCGATTGCCTTCCTTTGCTATCTGATATGAGACATGTTCGGGAAGATCCCTAACTGAATTGGAGTTTGGTATGCTTGTATTTACTAAGGTGATGAAGCCATCCGGTATGCAGCATCCATACCCAGGCACTTAGGATTTTTCAGCGGATACTTTCATGGAGCGAGTCCAGCGCAGATAAATCCTCCTGTATGTTCTTAAGGCCCGACTCACGGCTATCGGGTGGAAATGAGTGGACGAGTTTAATATCGTCCGCAAAGACGTGTGATCGTCCATGTTTGATGGAATCATATATATTATTTATAAACATTAGGAAGAGTAGTGGTCCAAGAATACTGTCTTGGACAACTCTGCCTGTAACTTCGCTCGAGGAGTGCTGCTGGCCTATTTTAACTCCCTGTGTCCGATCTTCCAGATATGATTTAAACCAGCTTAGCAATGGGTTACTGACTCCGTAAGGGTGCAGAACGGACAGCAAAGGTTTATGTGACACCTCATCGAGGGTCTTGTGCATGTCTAGCAAAATGACAACAACTGTCATGCCACTCACAGCAACCGATGTTATGCGGTCGAAGACTTATATTAGACAGGTTAAACAGGATCACTTTTTGAAAAAGCCGTGTTGTGCGCTGTTTCTCATGTCCAATGTTGTTAAGAATTGAACAAGAGCCTTTTTGACAATTCGATCCAGTGTCTTTGGAGCTGCCGCAGTATGATTAACAGGGCGATAATTCTTCGTCGCAGATTGGGAGATACCATTGACTTGTAGTACTATCATTGAGAGTTTCCGCTGTGGAGGGAATTATCCCCTGTTTAAGGTTAATGTGAAGACGTTTAATATGACCAGAGGTATGCTTTTGCCTCCATACTTAATGACAGCTGGAGGAATACCATCGGGTCCTGGCTGAATTGACAGTTTTATGGTGAGTATACTCCTTTGAACATCACTCAGGCTCACGGGAGTACTCGAGAGCTCTTCATCTACCTTCCGTTATCTAAAAGGATGAGACATACTGATATCCCTATTGAATGAGGCCGCATAGTAAGAGTCCAGTGCTTCACAAATTTGGCTAACCTCATCAGTTGTTGATCCATCTTCTAATGTCGAGTTTGAATTTGATGGTTCTGCTTTGGATTCCTCCTGCTGAGAAGTTTCACCAAGGTTTATATCTTTCGCGGTCATTTAGCCCTTTTTTCTTTGGTGATTTCCGCTTGCAGTGCCTGAAGTTTTAGTTTCAGTAGAGTCTCATGCATTTGTAATAATTGATACGTATCACACAAGTATTCCTATTTCGTCGTTGACCTCATCGTCAAGAACTTGGAGAGAGAAGACACCAAACCAGAAAGCAAACGTGTTATGAAATGCGGAAAGCGTAAACGGAAAACAAGCCAATCAGAGCAAGCATAAAAGCCACTCGATATCGACCAATGTGAGAACTTTTTCCGATCGATCACGTGTGTGTGTGTGTGTGGCAGTCTGAGTAACATTAGCACGTGCTTCTGTAAAATCCCCCCACGTGGTAGATGAAATCACATTTATAAAACGTAAGGTTCTATCGGTTTTGGTAAACGAAGTGGTTTCCGAACAGCAATCGGCTGATCAGTTTCTTCTTTCCGGGTTTTGTCCATCTTTTCACGCTCTTCCGTAACAACTCCTTCCTCCTCAGCAGATGGTATGACCAAAGTGCGGGGACGTATGAAATCATTGTGTCCGCATACTGTTTCTCCAATTTCTAGTTGTATATCGACCTCAGTTTCTGAACTTGTGAGCACGGTTCCTGGTTGCCAAACCTGCTGGTGCGGGAGTTTGGTGTACATTACTCGTTTGGCTGTCAAAACCTGGGATTTAGCTGGTGGTCGTCCACTCTCATGCATGCGCTGTTGCCGACCACGTCTGGCTTGACGGGGATCTGGGAATAGTAAGTCTAACCTCGTACGTAGTCGACGCCCAAACATAGCCTCCCCTGGGCTTTTTCCGATGGATTCCAGTGGTATGGTGCGATACGCGAATAAGAATCTGTCAAGTTTAGTGCGCAAAGAGCCATGACCTTGCTTCAAGAGACCGGCTTTTACGGTTTATACCGCTCTTTCCACTAAGTCGTTTGACGCTGTGTGGTATGGCGGGGAAGTCAGGTGTTGGATGCCATTACCTTGCAAGTATTGTTTGAACGCTGCACTGGTGAATTGCGGACCGTTATCTGTGACCAATGTTTTCGGTATACCGTGCATGGATAAACTACAACGTAAGTTACTGGTTGTACTTACCGTGGTAGTGTTAGCGACGACAGGTACATCTATCCACTTGGAGTACGTATCCACCAGGGTTAGCAACATTTTCCCTTCAATCGAACCAAAATAGTCAGTGTGGACAAGTTCCAATGGACTGTCGCGCAACTCCCAAGGATGAATGGGACCGGTTGGTTTGTCCTTTTGATGTCTCTGGCACGTAGCGCAAGTATTTAGAAGCGCTTGGATATCTCTATCGAGCGCTGGCCACCAGTAGTATGACCTGGCCAGAGCTTTCATGCGGACGATCCTTGGATGAACATCGTGTAACTTTCTCAGTACAGGTGATCTGAGTGCCGATGGAATAATGATACGAGATCCCCGCGAGATACATCCTTCGTGTAGGCTTAGCTCAAATCGACAATCGTAAAATGGACGCAGATCGTCAGAGGAACGCGGCCCCCAACCCCGCAGCATCATATGTTTCACTTTCGATTGGACCGGATCGCTCTCGGTACCTTTCCTAATCATATTACCGGATATTGGTGTCGTGTCTAGATATTGCAACAATCGAACAAACTCGCATGGTATTCATCCAGTTAATCAACCTGTGGCAGTCTACTGAGAGCGTCAGCGACATTTTTGTGTGAACCAGCGATGTATCCGATTTGATAGTTGTAAGCAGAAAGTAGAAGTGCCCAAAGTAGCTTTCGGGGTGCGTTTAGTTGCTCAATGCCTCGTCCCTCCCCGAGAAGCGAGACTAACGGTTTATGATCAGTCTGTACCTCGAACCGACAGCCTTGCAAATACTGACCCCGAAAATCACTGCCAATGCCTCTTCGTCCAGTTATGAAGAATTTTTTCAGCAGCCTGTAGCGTGCGAGACGCGAAAGCAATAGGGCGAATGTTTTCGTCGTGAATCTTATGCCCTAGGAATGTTCACACTCCAGAAGATGAGGCATCACACTGTAAGACGATAGGCTTGTTTGGATCGTAATGTACTAACACTGGTGAAGAAGCAAGTAGAAATTTCGCTTCTTCAAATGCCTGTTCCGCTCTCTTCCCATGACTAGTTGAGTCTTTTTTTAGCAAATCGTGAAGTAGTGCTATATCGGAAGCAAGGTTGGGTAGGAACTAACGATAGTGCGATAACATCCCAACGAATGAACGCAGCTGTGCTACGTTACGTGGAGGTGCAGAAATAATGGGTTGTAATTTGTTTTTTCATGCATGTAACCCATGTTCATCCAACCGACAACCAAGTTAGTCAACGGAATCAACCATAAAAACATATTTGGAGCGTTTCAAACTTAAACTGTGTTCAGATATTCTATGTACTACATGGTCCAACCTGCGCAGATGTTCATCTTCTGTGCGACCCGTAATTAATAGATCATCAAGGTATTCACAAGTATTCGGTATATCACTGACGATGTTGTCAATTACTCTTTGGAAGATAGCTGGGGCTGAATTAATCCTGAAAGGAAGTCTGGTGTATTGAAATAAGCGTAAATGTGTACTGACCTTATTAAGATGACGAGAGACCTCATCTAATTCCACCTGGGAGTAAGCATGGCTCAAGTCCAGTTTAGTAACTTTGACCCTGTACGCTGCCGTCGGGTTTAAGCACAGGGACTATCGGCTCCACCCATTCAGCTTGCTGAACAGGTGCAATTATACCTTCTGGCTGGATCCTTTTTAACTCTTCCACCACCTTGGGCCGTAAGGAGTAAGGCAGCGTTCTGGCCTTAAAGAATTTCGGTGTACTAAAGTTCGCCATATGAATCGTTGCTTTAAAATTGTTCACTTTTCCCAACTAATGTCCGCTGAACAAGTCTGGATATCGCTTGAGAACAGTGTCCACGGTGTCCTCCCCCACGGTATGGATGGTATTTAATATTTCTGGCAATTGTTTTATCCGGTCCCGACCCAGTAGATTGACGGAGCATGAGGCACAACATGAACTACTAGGTTGTGTGGTCTGCCCTGGTGTTTCACTAGTATCTGACACTTTCCAAGTAGGTCAACCACTTCTCCTGTCTAGGTATTGAAAACGGTATCAGTCCGTTCCAGATTAGGCAATGATGAGAGCACGATTCCACTAATTAATGTCACAGCGGAACCTGTGTCTAATTCAAATAAAACTGGTTCACCATTAGCATGAAGCGTGACCCTATATGGAGATACTCTCATCATACTGAAGCAATTTGAAGTTATATGGTTCACAAAATTTAACTCGGAATCAGGGCCCTCACCGTCTTCCTGGTTCAGTGATGTAACCGAAGTTTGCGACCGTGGGGAACGGCATACACGTGCCTAGGAGCCAATTTTTCTTCAATTCCGGCACGTTGTGCTAATGTGAGGACAATGGGTAGGGGAGGTGTTTTGTCACAGCATCAGTAACAAACGAATTTTAGTAACCTGTTTTCGGGGGAAAACGTGGAGCCAGTTGGTTTACGCACTCTGCAGGCTGAATAGGGTGGAAGGTGGACAACAGAGTTTTCAGATTTTCTCTTTGACGTACGAGGTTGCAAGCGGTTTCCCATGAAAGAGTTTCTTCCTCTTGTGGTAGTACCTTCTCTCTCGCGCCATCATCTATAACTCCACCGATAAGACACTGAATTTTCATAACTTCTTCAACAAGCGTTGAGGGAATTGTATTATACCAGCATTCTTTTGTCGCTTGGTGAATGCGCGCAATGAAATCATTTACGCTTTCTCAGCTTTGCTGCTGCAATTTGAAGAACTACTAACGGGCAGAACATACACTTTGCTGAATTCCCCATAGCTCTTCGAAACACTGCATCACGTGTACGATACTCCTCTTAGCTATTAAGTTCATGGCGTCAACATGTTTTGTCCTTCTGAATCAAGTGCCTGGCGAAATAACACTATCCAGTGGGCATCGGACAACTCAACAGAAGGGTTCAACGCGGGAGAAAGAGACATCTGATGTTGAAAAGACCTTTACCACTGCATCCACAATTGTAAGGTGGGTTTTTCTGAACCATCCGACAAGAGAATTGACAGTCCCGCCAGAGGGTTCGTACTGCTCGTCGCCATCCTGATGCGTACCACACAAGTATTCCTATTTCGTCGTTGGACTCTTAGTCCCGAACTCAGAGAGAGAAGACATTAAACCGGAAAGCAAACGTGTTATTTGAGTAATGACGAGTACAACGGAATGCGGAAAGCGTAAACGGAAAACAAAGCAATCAGAGCAAGAATAAAAGGCCAGTCGGTATCGACCAATGTGAGGACGTTGTCCGATCGATCACGTGGGTGTGGGTGAGTGGTAGTCTGAGTAACATTAGCACGTGCTGCGTTAACAGTAATGTTGTAAAGCCCTTGTTTTCGCGATATCGGGACTTCAGTTGCTTCAATTTTGTGCTAATTTTGAAACATGGCTTGGGTTGACTGCTACTGTTATGGGGGTTGTTCCACTGTGTGTGTGCTAACTGGTCGGTACATATGACAGTATTGTTTATAAATTCGTTCGTGGCTAAGGTTGGATCCTGTGTTAAGAAGAAGTTACCCTAACTCAGGGTACTGAGTAGATTGTCAAATATGACCCAGTCAGTGAGATCGATGCAACGCGTAGACTTGTCAGTCACTCGTAGTTTGCTATTTCAACATTCAAGCTGCATAGCACAATATTGTGCTTACAGCCCACTAGTTGTCTGTCAATAGTGACCAGCCCTGACGAAATGCCCATGGTAAATAGCAGACCTAAGTTGTTGGCTCTTCTTGTAGGTTGATTAAACTGTCGAGTCCAATCCTTGATCTGAATGGTATGCATTATTCCCATGAGGCTCGTTGACACTTTAATTGTGGACGTCGTCCAGTCAGTATGCGGTAAGTTGAAATCACCACAAGCAAACTTATGTTTGTAAGAAATATTCGAGGCAGCTTTGATAGCATCAACTTGTTGTTCAATTTGGTGATTGGTAGCGCTGGAGGATCTATGGATGCAACTCAGTAGAATGCCACTGGAAGGGATTGTTAACCACAACGATTCTTCTAGATCATTGAGGATCAGAAAATCAACAGTTATCACTGTGATGTCATTTCGAATGT